CCGCTGGAGTGTACCTAAGAGTTTCACAGACGGAGCGATGACGAAAGGACAAGGGAAGATCTCGCTCTCTCTCTCTCTCTCTCTCGTTTTCCTTTTTTCTGGGGTAGACTTAGGATACATTTTACATTTTACCAGTGACTCAAAGTGAAGCAAACAATAAAATATACATTCTATAACTGGGCCTAACTCTAATCATGCCCCGCCTACTCGCCAAGCGATGGTCACCCGAATCTCACAGACCGATGGATCTGGCAGGTCCAGGTGAGGCGCCTGGGATGGCTGCCCAGCGGCATGTGCCCTGCCCTGGGTGGTGGGGCTGGGATCCCCTCCACCAACTGGCAGTTTGCTCCATTTGTTCTACTTTAGGGTTGACTAGACATGAGACAGAATCTGAAGTTGGTTTTTTGGATGTTTTTGGTGTATCCTGGGGTTGGCTGTTTTAAGCACTGCCTTTTGGGCCAGTCCAAAGTGAGTTTCCTTTTTTTTGTGGGGAGGTGACAAAAGGGGACAAAAGGGAACCCTGTGATCGTGGCTTGAAACACAGGAGCTTTCAATGGTAGCATTATGGCATGTTTGCTGAGTGTTTGCCAATGCTGGGGAGGACAATCATGACGTACCGCATGCAGACACTGACAACAACGTGGACTCTCTTTGTATTTACAGTGATACAGACTGGGCCCGAGCATCCATGATCTGTGACAGACGCAGCATCAGCGGGCGTTGTGCTGTCATGAATGGTGTTTGCATGTCCTCGGCTTCGCGCACACAAAGAAGCATAGCACTATCTTCATGCGAGGCTGAGTTGATAAGTGCAGTATCAGCATTGCAGGAGGGCATGATGACGAGACAGTTGTGGGACTCAGATCACAAACAGGGACTGCAACAGAACCATTTACTCACACAGTTTGAGTGTGCACGCCATTTTGCAGCGTCAAGGTCCTCGTCGTTTGAAAGACAAGCTGACGCAGCTCAACCGTTTGGCGTTAGTGGTGAGCTCTTTGTGTTGCGATGTTAGTCAACAACTCTGATCTGCGCACATGTCTAAGCATAACAGGTGTTTGCGTTTCTTGCTGGAAATAATTCTGTCATGAGCACAATTTAGTGACTGTTGCGCAACGTTTTGCTTAGCATGAAGTGGGCGGCTTACAAACCATCAGTGGCTGAATGTGTCTTTTCGGAGACGCTATTGGAATTGCGCTGCCTTCTTCGGAAGTTCATGAATTCTCCTGACTAAGGCTTGCTCGACCTTAGCCTTGTCAAAGCCGAGACCTTTGAAAAGGGCCCTGACTCGCAGACGAACAATCATGGGGTCTTGCGGGGAATCACATGTTTAGATTGTAGCACCAAAGGCACATCCGAAACAAGCTGCGCGGGTTCAAAGGTGCAGCTCGGGGCTTGACCCACATGAAACATCGGAGAGCTCAGGGACTCGTTGAGCCTTACGAGGCTCATTTCAGTTGCCTTGCCAGAGGTACGCCAGCATCATCAGAGGTTTGGGCGGGGCATTGCACTGGGAGAAGGCAGGATGTGCAAAAGTCACTGCCCGTCTCCTTTGGTTTCCCAGGCCCCATAGGCAAAAGGGGTAGGACGGCAAACACATGTTCGGGGTTGAGGTTCACTTGGGGCTTGCCCCACAACCTGCGTGAAACATCCGGACGCCAGGCCTTGGCATTACTCCCGGAGCTGAAATCCTTGGGCCCAGAGCCGGACGCAGTAGGCGGAGAGCGGACAGGTTGAGCCCAGCATTTGTCCTCCCTCCTACAAAGGATTTCTGGGATCCGAAGGCCACTAGGCTTGACGTGGCTTTTGTTTTGTGGGCGGGTCTCAAAATTGGGGGACTCCTATGGGTAGCTGGGTAGCTTCCCTGTCCCCTTTAAAGCAACCCTAAAAGGGGGCATCTGCAAGAGCAGGCACGCTCATGTTTACCTTAGCATTTTGAAACCCGGCGGCTCATATGGGAGCAGGTGTTACCCACAATTAGTGAAGGATCCGCTCTTAGATGCGACCCTTAGCAAGTCAAGCACTTGGTCTCAACATCCAATATCATACCAGGCATCCTGTGAATGTTTTAGGAACATTATTAAATAATCATTGGGTGTTAAACTAGTCATACCATATGACTGTGGGTCAAAATTAATGGGATCCCATTTTGGTTGGTAGGTGAATTCACCACCCATTTTAGAACCTTTTTAAGTGGTTGGATTGGTTGAGTTCACACCGGGGGTACGATTTGGATTTGGGGATTTTGAGCCATGGCCGTACAGCTCACGAGTCCCTTGCCATGCGCCCCTTGCCATAAGGAGTGCTAAGACGGTAAGACGTCTTTTGTAGTTAAATGAACGTGGCTTGTGATTTTCCTCATGGCTTTTCAGTGGTCACTTGCTGTTCCTTGTGCAACATGGGTTCCACTTGTTACTTGCTACAGAGCGGCGTGAGGCTGAGCTGAGATTCAGGAACTTCACTAAAGGACTTGTGAAGCCAGGGCCGCCCAGTCCTGAAAACTGAAACATCATCCCACTTGTCGAGGGACTCTACTTGATTGTTGTTCCTTCCCTATGCGATGGTTCAGATTCTTGAAAGCCTTACCTTCCGGCAATGCAACCAACCCTTGGGCAAAGATGATGCGAGAGATGCAACTCCCTCTGAAAACGGGAAAGCTGAAGGTGCATAATCCGAGCATCCAAGTACCCTTGAAACTTGCAGATATCCCTAATTGTCCAATTTAGATTCCCCCCCCCCCGAAAGTGGTATGGCAGTTGAAAAATGGAACCCGGCAGTACCTGGATGTGTCTCAACATAGGGGAAGCCCGGTAGTTTTTCGATTGAGACTCCTATAGACACCAACTATTGGGTCGATTTGAAGTAAGAAGCTGACAAGCCTCAAAATGCCCGGGCGCAATTCGTGTGTGTGTGTGTGTGTTTGTGTGCGTGTGTGTTTTGACGGTTAATATCAGTATGTTAAACTGGTGTGATATGTATTTAATTATATTTTTTGCCCTTTTCAGGCTGGTGTTTAACGTCCTCGTGGCCACTAGCAACAGAGTCTGAACACTGAGAACTGCAAAGCCGACGTGTTGATATGTTCGCCATGCCGGTGCAGCTAATAAGCACGTACCTCATTTTACAGGGCTCCTTAAAAGATACATTTTGCCCATTTGAAACATGCCAGCAAGATAAAGGGGAACCACCATTTACAAGGCAATGTTCAGGTCTATAATGTAAGGATCCCTGTTTTAGGGAAAACAAAAGGAACACCCCCGGTTTTTGGGTGTCCATTCAGCCGCCAACCTCTCGTTGCCAGCTCTGGGCAGCCTGGCGGTGGAGGCGGCCCGCAGCTGGCAGCGACTTGGTTTTTGGTTTGACTTTCGGGGATGGGGGGGGTGCGGGTTCCAACTGGGGATCCATGATCACAGTGGTTGGGACCGTGTCATGAAAGCAGTGGTTGGGCACATGAGTTTTGACTGTTTTTGGGGGTTGTCAAATTCAGCACCTGGGCTTATTGGAGTTTATACTTGTTGGGAAGACCAGTTTGGCACACAAAACGGTCGGACTTTTGGGTGACCAATCTGCTCAAGAAATGAGTCATGTGGACTACCATCTTTCCAACAGCCATGGACAGGAGGCTTGTGGAAGACTCTCAGTGTGTTTTCACTTGTTTGGGTCGTTGGTGTTTCTTTGGAATTAATCAGTGGCACTCGCTGCACCTAGCGCGCCCTTTTTGTAGACAACGCGTGTCTTGAAAACAAACCAACAGGGGGGGACTGTGGGATGCCCTTGCCTCGCACCACCAGATTGCGGCTTCAAACAGATGGAGTCTCGATTCGCGATCCCTTGAGATTGAAACACGGGGCAGTGGGTAGCCGCAAATGACTGGAGCACGCAAAAAGCGCCGAGGTGGCGACATGTTCTTGCCCTCATGGCCGGGATCCCTGATCTGCACGCCACGCAGGAGGTGGGCCAATCGGATTGGCTGAAGGACTGGTCAGTTCATGAAACATTTGGATTCCCACAATCTTTGGCAACCGTTTCTAGTCATGGCCCCAAAAAGGCGGTTACCCTTTTAATTCGTGGGCCCTTTGAGCAACCGAGATATCGAAGACAGACAAAGGCAGGCAGGCCGCCAGGCAGGGAGGCAATGGAGATTTCTCGCGCTTTGGCCGGGTCCAGGCATCGGCCTGTGATGCAACGCATGATCCTGCAGAGCACTATTTGTTGGGTCGAAATATTGACTAGATGCGGATAAATGCGGCTTTTGAGTACCTCACCACCGAATTCCTGGGGTTTGTCAAAGCGCTTCTGGGGTCCTTGCCCTTGAGCCCGTCACTTTGGACCTGACTGTGAGCATGGGGAACTAAATTGGGGTATGATTTCGAATTAGGGACGCTTTGATGGACATCATTTGCATGCAGATTCATGTCCACCCATCATGTTTGTTTCACACAAAACAATCACAATGCCAAGCTATGTGCTTCACATGTGAGTGCAGTACTTGGGAAAGTCCCCTTGTCAGTCCCAGTTGAGAGGTTCACTCCGAATCTCCGAATCCCAGTCCTTGGTCCATTGGTCCTTTCGACTGAGCCTTGGCCTTAAGGACACCACCACGGACTCCTTGACTCGGAGCACCTTGCTGAGCTGGGCGCCCAGCGGTTGAGAGCGTCCCTCGGGGAGGGCCCTCCAGGATTTGGTTTGGGTCGGTGTCAAAATCGGGGGAGCTGCTCAAATGGGTGGCTTTCCTGGTGGTTTCCTTTTAAGCCGAGCTGAAAAAGACGGTACAACAAGGAAAACACACGCAGCCATGTGTTTGATAGCAGTCAAACGGATTCCCAGGATGCCAGGGACACTGAAACACAAGGAATCCAGTGAAAAGTAGCTGCTGCAGGAGGTTTCCACAATGCGAACACGCGGCAGTTGCATGTCCTTCGGGGGGCTGTGGACTCGTATGCGTTAGAACAAGCGGGTTTGAGCTTGTATCAGGTGAAGAGATGTGTCGCAATCTAGAA